ATAATAAGAATAATAATAATAATAATAATAAGAAGCATACGAAGAATAATAAGAATAATAAGAATAATAATACGAATAATAATAATAATAAGAAGAAGAATAAGAATAATAATAATAATAATAATAATAAGAAGAAGAAGAATAAGAAGAAGAATAATAATAATACTAAGAATAATAAGAAGAATACTAAGAATAAGAAGAATAATAAGAATAATAAGAAGAAGAATAAGAAGACTAACAATAATAAGAATAATAATAAGAAAAATAAGAAGAAGACGAATAATAATAAGAAGAAGAATAATAATAATTATAATAATAATAATAATAAGAATAATAATAATAAGAAGAAGAAGAAGAAGAGGAGAAGGAGGAGGAGGAGGAAGAGGAGGAAGAGGAGGAGGAGGAGGAGGAGGAGGAGGAGGTCTGAGAAGAGTTTGTTGTAGTCATAATGCTAACGAAATATACGAAAGCGACTGTGCGCGGCGCTGCGGCGGGAGCTCCATCGCGAAAACGACCAGTGCTCGGCTCTGGTGTCTGCCACAGACTTTCAGGCGAGCGTGCGCGGCGTGGCGGCGAGACAGTCAAGCCGGCTTCGAGGGTGCACCGCACGGGTCGGTTTCAGAGTGGAGCTGCAGTCAACTCCTCCTCCTCCTCCTCCTCCTCTCCTCCCCCTCCTCCTCCTCCTCCTCCTCCTCCTCCTCCTAGTATCGTTTATCCGAGCCCCATCCCCGTCCCCGTCCCCTTCGAGACCCCCGCAAAAATCAGCACCCCAGTTGGGCACACGCCCCTCGAAGCCCGAAGGGGACGGCCCACTTCCCCATCCAGGGGGGGCACATCGGCCAGTGGGGCCCAGGCCTCGCCGCGGGAGGTGGGGATCGGTTGAACGATACTCAGTGGCGGTTGCAAATTTGAGGCTTCAGGAACAGAAGTGGTGCGGACTTCAGGCGAAACGTTCGACGCGCCCTGCCGACGCGGCCGGTGGGTGCGACAGAGGGGGGGCTACCCACGAGGAAACGAGATGGAGAGGGCGGAGACAGGAACACGGAGGAGGGAGCTGGCCGCACGTGCGCTGCTCTCTCCTCCGCCTCCCCCCTTGCAAGTGTTGACGCTTCGCGAATCCCCACCAGCCTGTCGTGATCCGTAGCGCTTCTGACTCCGCTAGCGCCTCCGCTAGCGCCTTCGCTAGCGGACGCGACCGAAAAAGAATCCCCACCAGCCCATCCAGAAACGATGCCCAGAGGAATTGCCTCGATCAGGGAAGCGGGCATCACACAGAGGAAGGGTCCCCCAGTGGAGGCTTCTTGGAGCGTCTTGGGGGCCTCTTGGCGGTCCCGGACGCCTCTTAGAGCGTCTTGGGTGCCTCGGAGAGCTTCGTGGGGCTTCTTGTGGGTCTCTTGGGAGCCTCTTGGAGGCCTCTTGGGCGCCTGTTGGGGCCTCCTGGGGCCTCCTGGACGCCTCTTGGGGCCCTCTTGAAGCGCTCTTGGGAGCCTTGGGAGCGATCTTGGAGCCCTCTTGGGCCATCTTGGAGCCATCTTGATGCCTCGGCGAGAAAACCAAAAACATGGATTTCCCTAAGGTTTTGGAAGGATTTTGGCCTCTTCGGGGCCTCCTGGGGGAGCTCTTTGGCCACTTGGAGCCGTCTTGGAGCGGTCTTGGGGCCTCTTGGAGCATCGTGGGCGCCATCTTGAGGCATCTTGCGGTGTCTTGAGCCATCTTGGAGATCATCTTCGGCTCTCCCAGGCGCTCTTGGAGTCATCTGAAGCAGTGCCCCCACCAGGAGGCCAACATGTGGCCGAAACCCTTGTAAAATCAATGATTTTGGCATTGTCGCCGAGGCCTCTTGGAGCGTCTTGGGTGCCTCTGGGGGGCTCTTGGGGCCTCTTGGAGGTCTCTTGGATGTCTCTTGGGAGCCTCTTGGGAGCAACCTGGGGGCCTCCTGGGGGCCTCTTGGAGCTTCCTGGCCACCTCTTGGGGCCCTCTTGGGGCACCCTTGGGAGCCTTGGGGGCCATCTTTGGGCCATCTGGGCTGATATTGATCACAGGAGGGGGGGTTACGAATTACAGTCCTCCCCCAGGAGGAGGCCAAAATGGGGCCAAAACCTTATTGGAACCAATGATTTTGGCTTCCTCGCCGAGGCCGTTTTGGACGCCCTGACACCTCGCGAACCCCCCCGTCCAGGTCCATGGGGAGGGGGTAGGGGGAGGGGTCAAGACCCCCCCCGCCCGCAAGCCGTCTCGCTCACTCCCACCCGCCTTCCCAACACATACGTAGCACCCGAGTCTGGCCCGAGCCTCAGCATATTCAGCAGTCGTCTTTGGATGGGTAGCTACTGGGGGCCAATCCGCCGCCGCCTCCGCCGCCGCCGCCGCTGCCGCCGCCGCCGCCGCCGCAGCCGCTGCCGCTGCCGCCACCGCCGCCGCCGCCACCGCCGCCACCGCCGCCGCCGCCGCCGCAGCCGCCGCAGCCGCCGCCGCCGCCGCAGCCGCCGCCGCAGCCGCCGCCGCCGCCGCCGCCAAGTGTACTCTGTATTGTTTTTTGACAGGGATGGTGGGGGGGGGGCGCATCGGGTTGGCTGCGCATGTTCCGAATTTGGAGGCAGAGTGTGTTTTGTATTGTTTTTTACAACGGGTTGTGTGGGGGGGTTGTCATGGACGCTGGTTGGCCCCCAGTCGCCTGGGGGAGGGGGTGTTTATCAATAGGGAACAGTGATAAACCCCTCCCCGAAGGGGCAGAAGGAGGGGTGGAAGAGGACACGCTCTAAACTACCGACGCCCAGAGGGCTGGTGGGATTACTCCTTCAGAGCTTGGGCCAGCTGCATCAAGCATGCAGTGGTCACCATGTCGACCGACTGACCGACCGACCTGCCTACCGAGGCGGAGAGGAGGAGAGGACAGACACCGTACCCACGCGGACTCTGGATAGGCCCGCACATTCATAGCATATGCCTTCTCAGGGAGGCTCAAGCCATGAGGCGCCCTCCGTTCTGCAATGTGTTCGTCATGGTGGGGCTGATGAGGGAGTCGTGCCAGCGAAGCAGCGCAGCGTGAAGGAGGCGAAGTTAAATATCCACCGTAAGTCAGCGCGCGGTTTGAACTCGAGCGGGTCTTAAACTCGACCGTGCCCACTCGATTCTTGGGGCCTCTGATGGGCCTCTCAGGGGCCTCCTGGAGGGCCTCTTTTGGGCCTCTTTGGGGCCTCTTGGGTAGTCTTATGCTCTCTTGGCCCGTCTGACGCCTTTGGAAACCGACTGTGCGGATTTGGGTCCTTGCGGGGCGCTTTCGGGCCGTCATGGTGGTTTTCGAAGAGCTTGTGCCGAGGGGATGGGATCGGTCCTGAAAAACATTAAGGAGACCTTGCCAGACAGCGGGGGAGCATTCTAGCACGCCTCAACGTGCACAAGGCACGGTGGCGGACATCTCATGCCATATGTCTCTCTCCTCCTATCCTCCTCCTCCTTCTCCTCCTCTTCGTACTGTTTCTATTCCTCCTTGTCGGGCCCGCTGAGCAAGACGATTCGGAACGTGCGCAGGGGGGGGCGAACGGCGGGAGGAGGGAGGGGAGATCAGGGAGGAACGCACGGGGAGGAGGGGGTGGATCAGGTCCCCAAGGGGGAGGACGGAGGCAGTCCTCCTTTTTCTCCGCAGCCTCTTTGACTCAAGCAGGGTCCAAGCCGTATGCGTTTGTCTCGGCATTACGGTGTGGCCCAGGGCACCGTAGCGAAAGTTGTTCCCTTCATACTACCAGTATTAACCCCGACGAAGCAATGTGGCGAGCCCAAGCAATCATATTATCATCGACGGCAGTATCTCTGGCTGCCCTGCCTCTGAACGGTAGGCTTCCGCCTGCGGACAGTCCGCGCGAGTTGGCTGCGCGGTCGCTTGACCTGGGCGAGTGGGTTGTTGGACTGCAGGGACACGAAAGGACAATCCGTGCCTCTGGCGGAGCAAACAGCAGTGAACCCGTCCATTTGGAGAATGACGGGTACAGGGACAGAGAGTATGTGATTCGGAAGAAGTTCTATGTCAGGCTTCCGGTATGGTCCCATGGGTTGGGTAATAATTTGCATCAGTTATCCCATGCAATTGTTTATGCGGAGTCTGAGCGCATCCCACGCGTCATACTTCCAGAAGGGGGTCCTGTGCGTGAGCTCTTTGATTTGCCGAGAGTGATCCACGTGCAGCCGGGTTTTTTGCCCAAAGCGGATTGCATTTTGTCAGACAGTGCCTTTTTCCAAGATTGCACATTGAGTTTCAAGAAAGAAAACCTTCGGCGGGCTCTTCTGACATACGTCAAGCCGCATCTCAAGCAAGATGCCCAGGAAGTTTGCCAAACAAACGCTGAAGCAGATACGGATCTTGTGATTCACATTAGTGGTGTAGATCTAAACGCGAAGAGCGGACAGCATCCACAAAGCCGAAAACCACCATGCTCTTATTACCCACATCTGATCGCTACTCATAATTTTCAGAGTGTCAGACTTGTCGTCGAAAATGGGGATCACAATGTGCATTGCGGGAGGGACATAGTAAGTGCATATGAAAATAGCAGCAGTGTGGTGGTTCGGCAAACGGATCATAGCTTGATTGATGATGCTTGTACCCTGATGAGCAGTCAAACTGTTGCGTTGGGCTTGGCGACGTTTGCAGAGAGTCTGGCGATGATGAGTGATAGACTCAAGACTGTGTACGTACCAGCTTTGAAGTTTAATGAGAAAGGTCAATCCATACTGTATGGTAGTGGTAATGATCAGGCTGGCACGCTGGACTGCGATGGCAACTATCGCTCAGACTGTGGTGATGACGTTATAGAGTACGTGTTGTATGACACACCAAGCCTGGAACACAGGAGGGATGAGGCCGACATCGCGGCATTCATGCTCGAAGGTGGGGGGAACTATTCTCAGCTACAGACCTGTGGCCACTGTGTTTGATGAGCTTCTGCATCATTTCATAGAACATGTCTCGAGTGTAGGATGCCTGTTCATGGCCAGTTGAATGGGTGCCATATGAGCGACGTAAGACAAACGGGGTCGTCTGCGCCAGCATTGGCGCGTAAGCTGCCCGCGTGAGGTCGCGCGTAAACGCCCTCGTCTTCGATGTAGCGTGCCGTGCTGGCGGCCCGCGTAAGCCGCCGCGCAAGGTCGCTACGTCACCTCCCGCAAGGCCCCCTTCTTCTCGTCGCTCATGTGCAACCGTCCTCAGAGCCACAGCCCCATCGGGTTGCGTCGTGATAGACGAGCCGTCCGCGGAGCGTTTCTCCGTCGTGATTTGTAGCCATCAGCAGCTCCCATCTCTTGAGATGCATGCGCTGCTGCAGAGGTGCGCTTCTGCCGATCTCGAGGCGCAGTTTGGCGCCGGCTCGGCAGGCCGACCTCTCTCTTCGTGTACCGCCGTGCGCGACGCCAGGGCCGAGCTCCGAGCCCGCGTTCGGGGGGCGCGGCACGGGACAGCGTCCGCGCGTCCACGACATCGGGGTCGCGGCTCTGGACTCTCGAGCGGTGCACCGACGCGCGAGCACGGTCCAGGGCGCTGGGAGTCGCAGGGCGCGGCCGGCCCGGGCGGCAGCCGGACATGTCTGGCCAGCTCGTGTGTCCAGCGCTCGGCCCCTCTGCGGCGGAGAGTGGGGGGCCATGCCAAGGAGCGCCCTGCCTGCCTCCAGGTTACCATGGGTGCCATGGGTTTCGATGGTTTTGCTGTGGGGAGCGTGGCGTTCCCGCACCGAAGATCGATGGACGTCCTGGGGTCTCAGGCTTGGGCTTCTTGTGGAAGGTTTCTTGTGGACTGGCCTCCACTGTATGACCAGGTAGGCCGCGCTTTCGCACGCGTATCAGGTCCGTAGCCTCTGGATGTTCTACATGTGGATCCAGCCACCTGCGTTTACCAAACCAAAGGCGAGCCTGCCAAACCAAGGGCACCCTTGTGTCCTGTCCGTCGCGTCGCGCGCCCTCTTCGCCTCGGGAGCTAGGGCTGCCCTCGAAAGTCAGGTCTCGTGTCCGCTCGGGTGTCCTCTGCACTCTGTCCCGACTGCGACGGGCTTGCCCCGCCCTGGCACGGCGCCGGCAGATCCGCGCCGCCTCGACGCGGCGGCGAAGCAGGCGCGGGCGTGCAGGGCTTATGGGCGCCCTCCATGGGGCCCGTCTATCGGCGGCGAGCCCAGGGGGGAAGGCAGGGGGGCGGGCCCTCTCAGAAAGTTAGGATGGGCTCCAGCCTTCCGAGAGGCTTTCCATCCTCTCCCGAAGACGCGGACGGCTTCTCAGAAGGCCAGAGGGCTTCCGAGAAGCGCTGCCGCCTTCTGAGAAGGCCTGCCCCTAGTTGATGTTAGAAACGCTGGGGTCTTTTGTGTTCCGCATTCAACCTTTCGATTTTCTGCCAGCCAAATTGGGAGCAACAAAGAACGGCGGCCCAACACAGGGGCTCAATTGCAGTACAAAGTGGAACCGAACCGAAAATGGCGCGAACGAGAATCCCACAACGGACAAAGCGAACCGACCCCCCAGGGGGGAAGAGCAGCGTCGATCTCGAAAACAGCAACAGAACGTCCCCCCCAGCGCTTTTAACACCAATCTAAGGGCCTATCCCCTCTCACTCCCCCCCCAGAGGCCCCACAGAGACAGGGCCAGGGGCCTGGGCCACTGTTTTGGGCCCGTCGTCGTCTTCGTCGTCGTCGTCGTCGTCGTCGTCGTGGTCGTCGTCGTCGTCGTGGTGGTCGTCGTCGTCGTCGTGGTGGTCGTCGTCGTCGTCGTCGTCGTCGTCGTGGTCGTCTTGGGGTCCTGGGGGGCTCTTGCAGCGGAGGCCGCTCCGGGTGAGGGGGCGGCGCGGGCAGCGCGTCGGAGGCTGGTGGCCCGCAGGAGGCGCTCCAGGAGAGGGCCTCGCCCTCGAGGAACGAAGGGGCTGTCATTGTCGTCGTCGTTGTCGTCGTCGTCGTCGTCGTCGTCGTCGTCGTCATTGCCTTCGTCGTCGCCCTCGCCGTCGTGGTCGTCGTCGTCGTCGTCGTCGCCCTCGCCGTCGTGGTCGTCGTCGTTGTCGTCGCCGTCGTCGTCGTGGCCGTCGTCGTCGTCATCGTCGTCGTCGTGGTCGTCGTCGTGGTCGTCGTCGTGGTCGTCGTCGTCGTCGTCGTCGTCGGCAGAAGGCGGCGGAAGTATAACGAGGCCGAAGAAAATTAATAAGGAAGGGCCGACGCATCTGCCCGGGCTTCGACTCTTCGGCGGGCTTCTGCTGGCGGACGCCGGCGGAAGGCTGGCGGAGGGCTGGCGGAAGCAAAAGATGCGACCCCAAGAGATGGCAACGTTTCCGGGGTCAGGGTTTCTCCTCCTCCTCCTCCTCCTCCTCCTTTTCCTCCTCCTCCTTTTCTCCTCCTCCTTTTCCTCCTCCTCCTTCTCCTCCTCCACCCCGCGCCAATGGTGCGCAGGGCTCCTGTTTGGTAGTCGGGTGAGGACGCACGGGGCGCCTGTAAGGAGACCGTCGATCTCCGAAGAGCATCTCATCCGAGCCCTCTGGAGTTGCGCCACCGGGGCGACACAGGCAATCCGGTCACGCGTTGACCCCTCATGCCCTGATCCCCCATGCTGGGGGCCTTGGCTGGCCCCTCATGCGTTGACCCCCTCATGCTGGGTCATTGGCCCTTCATGCGTTGACCCCTCATGCCAGGGCTTCGGCCTTTCATGCGTTGACCCCTCATGCCCTGACCCCCCATGCTGGGGGCCTTGGCTGGCCCCTCATGCGTTGACCCCCTCATGCTGGGTCATTGGCCCTTCATGCGTTGACCCCTCATGCCAGGGCTTCGGCTTTTCATGCGTTGACCCCTCATGCCCTGACCCCCCATGATGGGGCCTTGGCTGGCCCCTCATGCGTTGACCCCCTCATGCTGGGGCATTGGCCCTTCATGCGTTGACCCCTCATGCCAGGGCTTCGGCCCTTGACGCGTTGACCCCTCATGCCCTGACCCCCGATGCTGGGGCCTTGGCTGGCCCCTCATGCGTTGACCCCGTCATGCTGGGGCATTGGCCCTTCATGCGTTGACCCCTCATGCCAGGGCTTCGGCCCTTCATGCGTTGACCCCCTCTTGCTGGGGCCTTGGCTGGCCCCTCATGCGTTGACCCCCTCATGCTGGGGCATTGGCCCTGCATGCGTTGACCTCTCATGCTGGGGCTTCGGCCTCTCATGCCCTGACCCCTCATGCTGGGGCCTTGGCTGGCCCCTCATGCGTTGACCCCCTCATGCTGGGGCATTGCCCCTTCATGCGTTGACCCCTCATGCCGGGGCTTCGACCCCCCATGCTTTGACCCCTCATGCTGGGGCATTGGCCCTTCATGCGTTGACCCCTCATGCCGGGGCTTCGGCCCCTCATGCCCTGACCCCCTCATGCTGGGGCATTACCCCTCGTGCGTTGACCCTCTCATGCTGGGGCATTGCCCCTTCATGCGTTAACCCCTCATGCGGTGGTTTAGCATGCCACGATTGTTAGGGCACAAAACGGTAAAACATTACCCGTGCCTTGAACGACATCCGTGACAATCCTCCTCCTCCTCCTCCTCCTCCTCCTCCTCCTCCTCGTCCTCCTCGTCCTCCCCTCCTCGTCCTCCCCGTCCTGCCTCCTTCCCTCCCTCCCTCCTCCCTCCCCCTCGCTCCTTCCCTCCCTCCCTCCCTCCCTCCCTCCCTCCTCCCTCCCTCCCTCCTCCTCCTCCTCCTCCTCCTCCTCCTCCTCCTCCTCCTCCTATTCTTCTTCCTCCTCCTCCTCCTCTTCTTCCTCCTCCTCCTCCTCCTCCTCCCTCCTCCTCCTGGCTCCCATCGCAGGGCAGGGGACGTTCGCCGAAAACCGCGAGCGCCTTTACTTCTGCCTCTGCTATGGTCACGACCACCATCTTCTGAAGGCCGCGCACCTCGTCCCACCTCCTTTAGCGCGATGCGACAGGAGGCTACGGGTGATCCCCGGAGGTCTCTGGCCGGAGGCGTCTGGAGGCCTCCAGAAGCCCCCGCGGCACAAAAAGGGCCAACCACGATTCCCAAACCTCGATCGCCGAGACCCAAATAGCGAGCATCGAGCATCGCAGAGGAGGAGCACTCCGAGAAGTCTGCGCCGAGCGCAGAGCTGCTAGGATTTCGAGTCTGATCTTTTTTGGGGGGAGAGGAGGAGGAGGAGGAGGAGGAGGAGGAGGAGGAGGAGGAGGAGGAGGAGGAGGAGGAGGAGGAGGAGGAGGAGGAGGAGGAGGAGGAGGTGGAGGGAGTGAGGAGGAGGAGGAGGAGGAGAGGAGGAGGAGGAGGAGAGGAGGAGGAGGAGGAGGAGGAGGACGAGACATCGCCCACGCCTGACCATTGTTCAATTCGTGCCAAGGAGTCGGCAAGCGACCCTGCCGCAGGACCGTCATCGCCCTTTCCTCCCGAGTGAGACAAGCAAGAACCCAGATGGCGACTGATACGAGCTGCCCTCAAAGCGTATCGGGCCGCAATTGCACACACTGTGTCGCTACCCCTGCCGCCTCCGCGCGTTCCGAAGGGTTGTCTACATTGTTGCCGTGGGAAGGCGCGGCGGCTCACGCAGCCGACGCTGGAGCATCGAACCGGCGGACCGGAGGTGGAGCGGACCGGCGCCACCGCGGGGCATCCAAGTACCCGTACCCGTTGGGCAGGGCGCACCGAAGGCCTCATACCGCGTGGGCGTAGGAGGGGGCGGAGGAGGAGGAGGAGGAGGAGGCGGAGGAGGCGGAGGAGGCGGAGGAGGGGGGCGAGAAGGAGGAGGACCAACGTAAACTACATATGCACACGCGATGCTGCAATGCACTCTCCCGTCCCAAGTCTCCTCCTCATGCGCCCCTAGAAGCCTTCACTTCCACTAAAACCCACCCTCCCTTTGAAAGACCATTTGGCGAGGACCCCGCTTTGAACAGGACTTGCCTTGAATCCAACTGGCGCGTAATCCAACATGCAGCAACCCGTGCTAATGCAAATCAGCTGGGTGTCCAATGAACTCCTCCTTCTGAGGAAAAAGACCATCCCTTCCACCCGCGTACTTGCTGCACAAATTTTCACTTGTGGGCATGAACTGTGAAGACGTCTCAAGCGAGAACTACATAACACGAACCGCCATGATTCCGTGCAGGGCTACGTGCGTTGAAGCTTCGAAGCTTAAACTCCGCGGGCAATCTTAGGCGAGAGCTCCATATTGAAAAAGAAAAACCGTCCACATCCCTAAATCTCCTGTTCCAGAAATCGCGAATGCGCGCGGCGCTGAGGCGAGAGCGCCATGTTACGGGTAAACGTGATCAATGCACACTTCTTGAAATTGTTGCAAGAATTTGAAACGAACGTTCGGGGCGCTTGGACGAGAACCCCGCTTTGAACAAGAACCGCCCTCCATCCGTCAAGCTGGGCTAACATTCAAAACGAATGTGCGCGGCGCTAAACAGCAAGAGCGCCATTGTGAATGCCCCCCCCTCCATCCCTGATGTTGTTGTTGCAAACTTTTAAGACGACTCTCCACGGCACCAATCTGATAACCACATTCAGAACACGTCCCCCGCGCCGTCCGTGAACCCGTTGGCGATGTTTCCAATCAATGTGCTTAGCGCTGCGGCGAGAGGCACCTTTTGAAAAGGAGCCGCCCTCCATGAGTGAAGGTGCTGCGATCGATTTCCTTAACAGTGCTTGCACTTTGGAGAGGTCACACTTCTTGACTAAAGAACTGGGCCGTATCTTCGGTCTGGTGGCTAAGTGGCCGCCGTCGCCGCTCCGTCGCCGCCCGTCGTCTGTGCCTGGTTATCGGTCGCCGCACTTGTTGTCGCCGTCGTTGCCCGCCGCTGTCCGCTTGCATTGCGTTGCGCTGCTGTTCGCTGCTTTCATTGTTTCGCATTGCGTTGCGTTGCTTCGCATTGCTTTGCATTGGTCTGTCTTGCTTTGCGTTGCGTTGACTGCGCAGTATGTATTGCACCACGTTGGTTCCCGCACGCAGACTGCACTACTTGTACTGCGAACAATGGATTACAAAACATGGGATGCCCAACATATATTGCACAGCATCGATGGCACCACGTACATTGCTCCACCTAGACTGCTCAATCTATGGTGCACCTCACAGAACCCACAACATTTATTGAACAGCATGAGCGGTACACCAAATCTCGCACAACACAAATTACTCCGCATATATTGCCCTCGCATGGGTCGGTAGAACCACACTGTTTGAGGTCCACGCTGGCTACCATGTTTAAGATGAGCGTGCGAGATATTAGATCGAACACACCATTATCCACAAACGATGCCTGCATCTGGAGGTTCCAACTCTCTGTTTTAATGGACTGGGCAATGTATTCGGCCTGGTGGTTAAGTGGTCGCCGTCGCCGCCCCGTCGCCGCCTTGCCGCCACCCGTCGGCTGGGCAGTGTCTTCGGTCTGGCGGCTATGTGGCCGAAGTCGCCACCCCGTCGCCGCCTCGATGCCACCCATCGCCGCCGTTGGATTGCACAACGTTGGTTTGACCCCTTACACCACAGAGTGCACCACATAGGTTGCACCATGCCGATTGCACAACATAGTGCCCACCATCGCACACACATGCACATACACACATAGATATAGTGCACAACAGATGTTGCACACCACGTACATATATATACATATATGTATGTATGTATGTATGTATGTATGAATGAATGAATGTATGTATGTACGTACGTACGTATGTATGTATGTAAGTATGTATGTATGTATGTATGTATGTATGTATGTATTTATGTGTACATGTATATATATATATATATATATATATATATTCGGCTGCACAACCACATATGTTGCACAACGCATATTCCACAACATTAGGTACACCACGTCTACCCTCCTGGGCTTAACGGTACACTTTTGCGTATTACAAATTGCATGCGATTCTGCCCCATCGTCCATCCAACATATGGACTCTTGACAGCCCAGCCGGGTCGGCATCGACCCCCCCACCACCACCACCCTCTGCAAGACCAAACTGTGCGCGTACACTGGTTTATCAAAAACCAGCAAATGTTCAACAATCCCTCGGAACAAATGGGATTAAGTGTGCACGCGCAAGGTCGTCGCTTGCGCATGCCGAAACCTCTCGAAAACGCAAGGTTTCCCAACGATGTCAACATCGATTGTCATGTACATTTATGGAAACACATCGTTGGGCAACGCAGATTTTCACACACACAAGCCTGCACCCGTACCACGCTCTTCAACATTCCCAGAAAATGCTATATCAAACGGGCCCCTCGCGCGCTCATGCCGAACTCGTTCGAACGCCATTGCGCGCGTGCTGTCGCAAGAGCCCTTTTACACAAACGCAAGGTCTCGTGAATATTTCAAAAACGAGTGTCCCGAACACATATAACAAAACATGGTTTCGCAACGAAATGCCAGTTCTCAAACAAAAACATACGTTGTTCGACATGGCCATCCTATTATTCTGCCAAAGGGGCCTCCCGCGCCGCAGGTCGAACCCACTCGCGCGCCATTGCGCGCGTGCTGGGGGGGGGGGGGGACGATCTGTTTCGAATAATCGTGCGCGGGCCACTCGCGCGCGTCGGCCGCGCGCGCATTTCGAATTCCTTCAGAAAGCCCCATCGCCGACGCAAAGACATCGTCATCGAGATCGGCGGGCGCGATCAACATCGGCGCCGTCATTGGCCTTGTGGCCGTCGTCGCCACTATCGCCACCATCATCGCTACTCGCATATCAGCCAGCGTTGGCCCCTAATATATAGGAGGGCAAGAGGAGGACGAAAGGAGGAAAGGAGGAGGACGGAAGGAGGACGGGAACAAGACGGGATGAGCACGGGAGGAGCAGCGTCTAGCAAGCGCAAGCAAGCAAACGGAAGCAAGCAAGCGCAAGCGAACAATAACACGCAAACGCGAGCCAGCGACCAAGTGCAAGCACACAAAAGCAAGCAAGAGCAAGCAGACGAGATCAAGCTCACCCATGCAAACAAACAACTGCCATTGGACAACGGGGGTGCATCGGAACAAAAAGGGGGGGTGCCATTGGCAAAAGGGGGGGGTCCTACATACCAGTTACTTATGATGAGCTAGGACTCCCACAGGGCACGCCTATTTGGATAATAGTCGTGTCCACCGTCGTCGGCGTCGCCATGATACCGCGCCACCAAAAGTCACCGACTCGCACTGAAGTGCCCGCAAGGAAGTGCCCAACGGTCAGCGCTACCGCGGCCGCGTCGGTGGCACCAAACTAGTAGACTAGCTGGCCGCTGTGCGCGCGAGCATGCACGGCCGCAGAGATGCACCAACCAACGCCAAGCACTCATCGTATTCGCCGCCGCATGGGCTTTGCAAACCATGTTGCGGGTGGGTTGGTGGGATGTTTGCAAGAGCATGGACTTGGCCAACTCGTTTGTAAAAAACACGTTCGTCACATATGCTGCACTACATAGCTTGCACCACATACGTTGGTCTGAAACGACTTCAGCGCAGATGCATCTATGTATACGCACTTTTATATATACCTATACGTAGACAAACATCTACATATGTATAGCACGATCGGTGTCCTCGCACCTGCGGCGCGCATTGGTCGCTCACAACATAGATTGCGTACGTAGATTGCGCTGTATATAATGCATTACGTAGGTTGCACAACAACTTGCACAACACATTTGTTATTCCATACATCAGATATATATAATATATATATATATATATATAGATATATATATATTCCCCACACACATTGCACAACATATACGGCACAACGTGAATCACACCACATCAACTGTTTAACACAGACTCCACAACATAAAGTGATAGAAACGCAATGCCTGTGGTACACGAAGGCTTACATGGGAAAAACCAGACCACATCCGTGAACATGTGGCAACAAATCACAACGAATGTGCGCAACTCTGAGGCGAGAGATACCGTTTGAAAAAGGAGCGACCTGTATTCTTCAAACTGTTACCACCTTCGAAACGAATGTACATGGAACTATGGCGAGAACCAAACTTTGAAAACCACCGGTGCCCCGTCCGTAGAACTGCTGCAAACTTTGAAGACGAATGTTGGCAGCGCTGGGGCGGGAGCACCATTTTGAGATCCACCCCCCCTCCATCATTCTAAGAGCTGCTGCAAAGTTTCAACTTCATGATCACACATGGCGAAAAGGTCTCATTGGAAGCACTCGGCCCGCCTTACCGACACGTTTGGGGGTGCGACAGGAAGCATTCGCAAGAAAGAAGAAATGAGTGATGATGGAGACAGTTCGATGATGTCGAGCAACAGCCTTTTCTGCCGCCCACATCGCCGCCCTCCGTCTCTGGACGGTGGCGGCTGCCGGGCGGAGGCTGGGCGCGGGCCGCCCAGGGGCGAAGGTCGAGAGGAGGAGGAGGAGGAGGAGGAGGAGGAGGAGGAGGAGGAGGAGGAGGAGGAGGAGGATCGAGGGGAGGGGAGGGGACTGATGGATGGACAGCGTCTTAGAAAGGTCGGAAACTGACCGCACCACCACGAAGAGGATCGACCCGAGTTGGATCGCCCCTGCAACTTTAGCGCCCTCTTCTGTGGCCCTGGTGGGGACCAGGGCCGGCGTTCTCTCTGCCCATGGGCGGGGGCCGAGGGAGCATCCGAGGAAGCCCGAGGGACTGGGGCAACACTCACGTCTGGCTTAGCAGAGTCCAGCTCGACATCGAGACGCTCAACTGGCAACGCCCTTTCAAGCACCCCTCTCGCTCGCATGTTGCGTCCAAGGCGACGGCGAGACCTGCTCGGGACGTCCACCAATCCCTTACGTGCAGGCTTCGGGCAGACCTCGGCGAGCTTCACGGCCCTCCCTTGACTCCAGCACCCACACTTTCAACACTGAGCCTGCTGCTCACGACGATGGTCCCCACTGGCCGCAGGACCCCGCGGAGCTTCCAAAGCCGAGCCCGAACCTGCGACAAGAAGGTGGCCACGGGGCTCACGCAGCAGAAAGGGGGGGCGGCTGCGCTGGTACCCAACGCCGAAACCGACAGCGACAGCGACAAGAGGAAGGGGATGAGGAGGAGGAGAAGGAGGAGGAGGAAGGAGGAGGGGGGAGGGGGCTGCACGCAGATCTCCTTGCGATGTAGAACAATGGCGACGGATTGGTGTGTTGGCCACTTTCGGACCCTATGGGGACCCTTACAAAGCCCTGTGACCGTCCGGGAACAACTCAGGATGATGAGTCTGCTCCGGGAATGGGTCAAGACCTCCAAGGGTCCAGATATGGTCCTGAGGGCCGAGCACTGGAAAGACGTGAAGCAACGTGTGCAGCCAGCCAGCACTCGCCCAGGCCGGACACCTCCACGCCATTTGTAGCCAACTTCCTGGTACATGCGCCCCCCAGGCCGAGTAGGACGAGCTTTAAAGACGCGCCCCGACCCCAATATCCCCGTGGCCGCACGCTTCTGCGCTGGCTTTCCAAACTGGCAGCCATGGGGTGTTCAAGGTGTCCCTGGCCTCTGGGCCAAGGTCCCTCTGTCCCAGCGTGTTCCCGGCCCCTGGGCAATTTCGGGGCCTCGGGAGCTACACTTTCTCTTGAGCCATCCTTGCTTTTCGTGCCCTGGCCTGGATACGCGCGCCCAGCCATGGACTCCCTGGTTCAGGGACCTGGCCAGAGAACGCCGGTGAGGATGGGCCGAAGGGGCAAGGATGCAAGGGTTCCCCTGGGAAGGTTGCCCATCATTACTATGCGGGTTGACTGTAGGGGGACTCGCACAGGGAGGGCCGCGTCGACCTGGAATCGGCGATGCATCGCCGACAGATCGGAGACAGGCCTCCGATATGACTCCAAGCACCAAGCGAAATCCTGGCATACCCATCCAATTCCTTCGTCACGCTGGTAAGACCGCCTGAGCGCAGGCACTGCGTGGCAACCAAGACCAAACACGTCCAACGCACAGCTGGATCCTCGAGTCTCCATCGAAGGGTCGTCGAGCAGCAGCGGCGAAGATCAGGCCGCGGCCGCCACCGGCGGAGGACCCTCCGCGGCTGGCGCCGGCTGCGCGGCCGCCTCTGGCGGCTGCGGAGGCGACTGCGCCGCTGCAGCGGCCGCCGCTGGCGCCTGTGCCTGCGCAGAAGGTCGACTCCGCCGCAGCCGTCGTCGTGTTCGTTGTCGTCGTCGTGGTCGTCGTCGGTGGTCGGTGGTTGGTGGTCAGTGGTCGGTGGTCGATGGTCCTCGTCGTCGTCATCGTTAAAGGGGGTGCAGCCAGGCGGCAGAGTGGCGGGTCCGTCGTCGTCGTCATCGTCGTCGTCGTCGTCGTCCTCGTCGCCGCCGTCGTCGTCGTCGTCGTCGTCGTCGTCGTCGTCGTCGTCGTCGTCGTCGTCGTCGTCCATCGCGGGTGCGATGAGGGAACAACGACGGGTCATTTTGCCCCGTTGCGCGGCCTCGGAGCCAGCACGAAGGCACCTGGCTCGAGGAGTCCAATCACAAATTCAATCGTGAGCTGCAGTCGCGCTCTTGCTTCCCTCGGCGCAGCGCTTTTGCCACGGCGGCGCGTGTCGAGGTCCTCCTCCTCCTCCTCCTCCTCCTCCTCCTCCTCCTCGGGAGCCCACTGTCTCGAGACATGTCCGCATCTGGCGGCAGACCATCTGCGGGGACCTCTGCAACTCCACCTCCTCCTACTCTTCCTTCATTCCTCTTCCTTTCAAATGCAGTCAACCCGTATTATAAGAATGCGCGGTAATGATGCAAGGGCCTGAGAGGCTGATGTTGGCATTTTTCGAGCGAGGCTGGCCAGGGAACGCCGGTGAGGATGGGCCGAAGGGGCAAGGATGCAAGGGTTCCTCTGGGAAGGTTGCCCATCCTCAATTACTATGCGGGTTGACAGTAACTCCTCCCTGCCGCACCCCGACAGGTGTTGGTAGGGCGGGCCGGGCGTCTCGCCTGAGACCTTCTCACCGTTTTTGATCCTGAAGCTTGACATGTGCAACAGCCTGAAGATCCAGGGCGGCTCGTTTTCAAGACATGACTGTCGCCTTAGCGTCGTGCGCATTCGTCTTAAACGTTTCCAGCTTGAAATGCGGATGACGGCTCGTCTTCAGAATGATGTCCTCCCCACTAGCGCCCCTCAACAACTTTAAATAATGGAGAGCGGTTCCTTTACAAAATGTGGCTGTCGCTTTCGCACCGCGCTCATTCGTTTCAAAACTTTGCAGCAAGTTTGAGGATGTAGTGCGGCTCGCTTTCAAACTGGTGCTCTCGCCTCAGCGCCGCGCCCATTCTCTTCAGACGATTGCAGCATTTTTAAGGGTGGAGGGCGGCTCATTTTCAACAGGTGGCTGTTGCCTTAGAGTCGCGCGCATTCATCTTAACAGCTTGCAGCGCCTTGATGGATTCGTATAATTGAAGTCCCATGAGTTGTGTTCTGCCGCGGTTTGGAATTGTCAGGACAAATCAATCACGTTGGTTCGCGATGTTGAATCCTTGGAATTTTGTTCTGGCGAGATTTCGGCTTGCCAGACAGCAACAGTCATCTTGCCTCGCGGGCTGAAATACCAAGACTTGTGTTTTGGCACGGTTCAATATTCTCAGACGATGGTATTCCAATGGGCACTTCCCGCAATGAAGTAAATTCTTACAGGGGCCTGTGAAGAAGGAACCGGGAGGCAAGGTTTATTGTAACTTCGTTGATACGTCTTGGGTTTATACTGGTGCTCGTCCTCCTCTTCCTCCTCCTCCTCCTTCTCCTCCTCCACTCTTCGTCCTGCCGTAACTGCTCCTCCTCCTCTCCCGACCTCGCAAAGAGGGAGGCGCGACGGAAAGGGCGAGGAGTGGAAGGCGAGAAGAGGCTAGAGGAAATGACGGCGACGGGGCGATGGGAGGGGGAAGGCGCCCGGCAAGGGGGGCGCTCCTGCTTCCGTTGCGCCTTGCGCGGGGAGGAGGCTCGGGTAGTCACGACGTCGGGCGTCGGGGAGAGGGGGGCGGGATGGAGTTGACGAGAGCTTCGAGGGTGTGCGAGGCGATGGGAAGGTCTGGGACGGGGAAGGCAGCGGGAGGCGCGTGGAGGGGATGCTGCTGCTGCTGCTGCTGCTGCTGCTGCCGCCCCTTTTCTTCGACCTTGGGTGCCCCTCCCTCCTCCTGGCGCCCACCTCCTCCTCCTCCTCCTCCTCCTCCTCCTCTCCCTCTCCTCGTCTGTTCTTTCTGGCCTCCATCTCCCCTCCTCCTCCTCCCCTCTCTCCTCTTCTCTTCCTCCTCCTCCTCCTCCTCCTCCTCCTCCTCCCCCTTCTCCTTCAGTGCGTCCGCCTCCCTCCTGATGGAATTGCCCAGCTCCGCGACGGTGGACAAGGGCAGACAACTACGGACCACGCACGACTGAGACGACGGACGACGCCACACGACGGATGACGGACGACGGACGACGACGACGCCGCCGCCGATGACGACGACCACGACGAGAACGACGACGACGACGACGACGAGAACGACGACGACGACGACGACGACGACGACACACTACGGGCGATAGACAACGACGACATCCCCTCCAAATCGACCTTCTGACAT